TGGTTTTTATTTTGTATATTTTAACACAACATTGGTCTGCCGAAGTATCTGCTTATAAGAGCTCAATTTTTTTCAGTCTTTGCTAAGAGGCCTTTTTTGAAGTTTTCTCGTAATCAGTTTCTTTATTTCAGTAGCTTCTTCAAAGGCCTTTAACAGGGTGGTCAACAAGAGTTGTGCTTCATAGTATTAATTATATTGATTTTTCTACTAATCCCACAGTGCATTATTTATTCAGTCAAAATGCTTTTTATCAGATCAGATACACTAACTTTAAATCATCTCATAGGCTAAAACGTGATTTCATTGCTGCCATCTTCAGCTCTTCTCTACTACAGTTGGCTCAAGCCATAGGTTACTTACCAGCATAGGCAGACCTACTGTTCCATTTGCGTTCAGTTTGAACGGTAATGTACGTGTACCTGCTTCTGTTGACTTTCACCAATTCTTGCTATTTCTTTGCTACAAGATCTTTTCCACTTATCCTCATATTTGAGATGGGAAGTCAGTGTGTAATTTGGCTGACTTGAGGAGAAAGCATAACTTAAACTGATCTGCCTTCTTCCTGCTCCTATTAGTCCTATGCATCTGTGTGCCATACTCCATTGCACTCAAACTCTGTCAAAGCATCTAGTTGTCTGATTATCTGGTAACTAATCCTTGCTGAAAATAGCACTTAGAAGGGGAAAAAAAATTAAAAAAAGGAAAGAGTTATTTAAAAACACAAATGAGTTCATTGAACTACAGCAAGGATGTAGGAACAAACATCTATGAAGGAGAAAAGATATTAAAAGGAGTTTCTTAAACTGACTTCTCCACTAAAGCACACATTTCATTTGATTATCCTGACCTTGCCATGTTAAGAAAGGCTCTGCTAAATTTCTTCACTGTAAACTCTAATTCATTCCACTGTGACCATATTTTTACATGATAATTTTATATTTCTAGCATGCATTGCCCACTCAGTAGTCTAGAGTTTTCCTGTATCTCCAGTAAACTGTAACTCAATATCATTTTTTAGTTCCGTCTTTTTATGGTGTTATTCCAAACATTTCATAGTTGGTGTTATTTTCTTCCTCTTTAGTCATCATCTGTTTTCTCAGGAATGTATTTCAGTGTTTGACCCTCTTATTTAACTCTTTTCTTACTAATCTTTGTGAGTAACTGACACAAATTATTTGTCGGTGGCATCTGTGAGATTTTTAGTCTCAGTAGCTGCACATTCTAATTTTGTATGCATCTTCATTCTTATGCAGTTCCTCTTTCTGAAAATGAGCTCAGAATTAACAGAGGATCAGAGGCATTAAAATGGATATTATAAGGAAGGACAATAAATGTGAATGTTATAAGCATTATACAGAGGTCCATTTTATAAGTCAGGTATGTGGATGGCAATTAACCAAATGCATTTCTTCTTCTCTGACTATGCTCCTCTTTCCCTAGTATAAAACAGTGCAACATCTTAGGTGCATTTTTTCAAAAATAAAGTTGAAGAAGTTGGATATGACGATGTTCTGCTAATTTCTAATAAACTTTTTTGTTTATAGCCTCGCTTGGGCTTCCTTCGCTTGCTGTATGGCTGCAGCTGTCACCACTATTAACAAATATACAAAAACTATTTTGGAATTCAAGCACAAAAGAAAAATGCTGGAAAGGAGTTTAAAGATTAAATACAAGTTTCCTGATCACGCAGCTCCAGAGAAAGCTTGCAATGTGTATGTGAACTCTTTTCACAACACTACAGAGGACTGTGCACATCCAGTAAAAGATTTACGTTACATGGGCACTATTTCAGTTCTATAAGTTTTAACCTTTTCTCAAGGCATACTGTGAACCATAAAATCAGAACAGAATGAAACAATGTTATTTAATAAAATTGTACATTTGTGTAGTATTAGTTATCTTCTCTAATAAAAAAAATAATAATTCCATGAATGTTTCAAGGAAGTCTTAGTATTGCAAAAGCAGATTCAGGTGTCCTAGTTCAGAAAAAGATCTGTGACATAGGTTCTGCATTCCTCTGATTTTTAAGCAGAGTGCCTGGTGTCTCTTGCTGAAGCTAAGAAAAGTGAAGGCATGCACCCTTGTTTGCAGGAGATATGCTGTTTGGATGAGTTAAGGAGCTGTGGGAGGAGGTGAGCAGGCTGCATAGCACAGTGGGTGATGAAAAAGAGATTAACAAGTTATTCACAGGATGCTGCAAAGACAAGCACCTGAACTTCTATATGCACAGAAGAAAGTGCAGCTGGAGTCTGCTTGCTGTAGGGTCACAGGACTGAGAATGCTGGGTGCTTGTAACGTCCAGTAAGAGGAAGATGGCTCTTTCTCCATTAGCAGATCTGCAACTGCAGAATTGGTTTGGCCTCTGGCATCAGGTAAAGAGTGGAAGCTCTACCTGGGGTGCGCTCAGAGCCAGCAAATCCTGAAACATGCAGCAGCATCAGTGTGTGACAGCAGTGGGAGACTGTCTCCTTCAGGGACTGAAGGCCTTTTTCTGGTGATGTGATAACATATAGGGATGTTTGCTCTCTGTTGGAACATTGCATATAAAGTGTTTCAGGGAGACTGCTGAAGTCTGTCCAGCCCTCAGACAACTATCCCCTGCTGATTACCCATTTGGACACCAAAGATACTACTGGGGAGGCCTTGAGCATGTCCAGAGTGACTATACAACTCTGATTTGAGGGGGAAGGTATAGGACATGGGGGCCCAGGTTGTGTTTTCCATGACCCTACAGGAAGAAAGACTGACTGGGTAAAGGGCCTAGATGCCTCGGACAACATTTGATTTTGCATAGCTGGTCCAGATGACAGGCTTTGACAACTGTAGCACCCTCTCTGAGGATCAGGAACTGCTTGAGGAGACAAGGGCTATTTGGTAAAGCTGGACAAAATAATGTCATTGATGAAGCTGGTCAACATGTTGAGGTGAATGTTTACTAGGAATGATGGAAAAGACAAATTATGTCATTAAGCAGGAAAGATGGAAAGAAAAAGGTACAAGGTGACAAGTGAGACCTCAGGAATGACAGAACAGGATAAAATAAAACTAATATCAAGTGTACATATGCAAATCCAAGCAGCCTGTGAAACAAGTGAGAGGAACTAGAACACTGTATGCAGACAAAGAACAGCAGTGTAATTGAAATGAGAAATGTGGTGGCATGGATTGAGTGATTGGATTACCATGATGATTGAAAATCAACTCCATGAAGGGTGACTTGGGGATCTTGCTGGACATCAAGCTGAAAATGTGCTTGGCAGAAATGCCAACATTCTAGGCAATGCTCATCCAGTTCCAACCCCCTGCTGTGTGCAGGTCACCAACCAGCAGCCCAGGCTGCCCAGAGCCACATCCAGCCTGGCCTTGAATGCCTGCAGGGATGGGGCATCCACAGCCTCCTTGGGCAACCTGTGCCAGTGCCTCACCACCCTCTGGCTCAAAAACTTCCTCCTCATATCCAACCTAAACCTCCCCTGTCTCAGTTTAAATCCATTCCCCCTTATGCTATCACCGTTCCCCTCCTGTTTCTACTCTCCCTTCAAGCACTGGAAGGCCACAGTGAGGTCTCCCCGCAGCCTTCTCTTCCCCAAGCTCAACAGGCCCAGTTCCCTCAGCCTTGCCTCACACAGAGCTGCTCCAGCCCTCTGCTCATCTCAGTGCCTCCTCTGGACCCGCTACCAGAGCTCCACGTCCCTCCTGTGCTGGGGGCCCCAGGCCTGGACGCAGCGCTGCAGATGGGGCCTCACAGGAGCTCAGCAGAGGGGGACGATCAGCTCCCTCTCCTGCTGGCCGCCCCTTTTTCATGCAGCCCACAACACAGCTGGCCTTCTGGGCTGCAGGCGCTCACTGCTGCCTCATGGCCAGCTTCTCGCCCACCAGGACCCCAAGTCCTTCTGCGCAGGGCTGCTCTCAACCACATCTTCCCCCAGTCTGTATCAATACCTGGCATTGCCCCCACCCAATGGCAGCACCCTGCACCTGGCCTTACTGAACCCCATTGGGTTCTCATGGGCCCACTTCTCCAGCCTGTCCAGATCCCTCTGGATGGCTTCCCTTCCCTCCAGTGTATCAACTGCACTGCTCAGCTTGGTGTCATCACAAACTTGTTGAGGCTGCACCGGATGCCATCGTCTGCCATTGGCGAAGATGTTGAAGAGCAACTGTCCCAACACGGACCCCTGAGGGACACCGCTTGTGCCCGGCCTGCACCCTGACACAGAGCCATTGATCACAGCCCCTTGGCTGCTACCAGCCGGCCAATTCTTTACCCACTTCTAGGAACCTTAAACATAACAAACCCAATGCAGCATCTCTAGGCAGTGAATCGGCTCTTCATTCTACACTTCATTGCAGAGAGCACTGTGGAACTTGCTTTAGCAAGATGTTAGGCATTTATACCACCAAATATATTGGTGTTTATATTGCAGACCATTTGACCCAATTAAGTTTGATGGATATGAAATCTTAGTAAGATGTGCTCAGAGATACATACAGACAAAGCTATGATTGTGTTGGTTACTCAGAGTGCAGCAGAAGTTAACGGAAGAAATAAGCACTTCCAGAATGCAATTTATGTAATTTACAGCACCTGTTTCTTTCCACTGATATTAAGAGTAACAAGTGCAGCTGCCGTCTGAACTAAATGTCCCTTCTTTCAGTTTAACTCCATTGCCCCTTGTTCTATCACTACCATCTCTTAGGCTTTGTTGAAGGCCACTGGAAGCACTTACGGGAGAAATGAAACAGAAAACTTTGTATTAAATAAGACAATTCCCTTGGCAGGTAAAAACAGTTCAGAAATGTCAGAGGATAAACCTTGTTTAAAAAAAGAAACAACAACAAACCCACAAGATTATTGAAAAGTGTGACCCATTTGAAAGGTCACCTAATCCTTCTTTTTCCCCAGGCAGGATAAGCTGAAGCTACATTGCTTTTTTACAGATGCTTCATTAATCTGTTCTTTAAGGCCTCCAAAGACAGGCATTCTAAAATTTCTGTGACAATTTATCCTTAATGCTTAGCTATTCTTAGCAAAAAATTCTTATCCTGCAAATCTCCTTTGCAGTTTGTCCTGCAGCAACAGAAAGGGAGAACAGTTTAGTTCTATGCTGTTGGCAATATATTTATGTATTTGAATATCAGATATAACTTTCTTTTGCTTTCTAATTTCAAAATTTCTTGATTCTTCATGCCTTTGTTATTCTCACAATTTTCACTTTCGTTCTGTATAATGTTCAATGTTTTTGAAGTGTTTGAAATGAACCAAGAATTTCTGCTGATATTTAGGAAGTGCAAAGGGGAGCAAAAAAGATTATTTAGCTTATTTTAATGGCAGATCTACCTGGCTTTACAGCAAAGTACATTAATACCTACTTAGCTGCGATATCCAGATTCCTTGAGCCTTTTCTGGAGAAACTGCCCAGTTATTTCATATTTTGTCTTTGTGGAGCTGAGGTTTTGCTATTGCTGAGGCATAGAGTCAAGCACATCAGAGACCACAGTACAGTTCTTTTGTTTAAGGGAACAGAATTCTGATGAGGAGAAGAAATATACACAAAATGGATGTTTGACTTCACTATTAAGGAACATACAACAATAGAAGCTCATACCTCCAAAAGAATACAGATTGAGGTCCAGTGGGTAATGCAGAAACTCACTGCTTATGACTAATTGTGGACAACGTCCCTGACTGAAGTAGATGAATTTTTGCTTCCTGAGAACAGAGCAACTGGACTTGTGATATGAGAAAAGGTTAATCTCTCCACCAGATAGGAATATATTTCTTTGCACTGAGAATTTTCTTTCACATTTGGTGATTCTTACTGACAGGAATAGGCATATTAGTGCAGCTGGTATTAACTGTGTGAGTAACTGGCCTTTGCTGTAGCCTTAAGTGTAGATTGGTTGCATACTTTAGGAGTATAAAGGGGTTCAGCAGATAAGGCATTTTGCCAAGATTTGCAAAAGAGCAGGTGGCCACTTATGATTGCGTTGATGACACAAGAGATGCAAGAGGAGGATTTAAGAGACAAAATTTAAGCTTTCAGATGTGAAACTTAAGATCAGAACACTTCTGCTCTGGCTTTATTTACATTCTGGTTCATCTCACAGGGTAAGAAAAAGTAAGTATTGAACTGGAAAAGTATGATAGGGAAGAGAAACCTTGTAGCTAGGAGTGAGAGAACTTTGGTGAATTTACACAAGTGACATGAATAGCATTCATGCTTACACTGGATCTGCTGCATAATAACCTCACATAACAGAAGGAACGGGCAAACTCAATTTTCAGTGGCCATTAGAAAAGTATCTCAAAACTAGGATTTTGTAAAAGACATGCAGAAGAAAAGCACAGGATAGTAATGCAGGAAATATACGTAAGCCTGTTTATGAATACAGAGTATTTATCTATCTTGAATACTTCATGCAGCTGTGGCCTCTCTGTCTTAAAACAACAACAAAACAAGCAAAAAAACAACAGTAAAACCCCAAACAGATAAGCTAGGAAAGACATTAAGAAAAATAAGAAGCCCTCCAAAAGAGAGGGCAAATTGACAACAGGGCTCTTCAACTTGGAAAACAAGTAACTGCTTGGAAAGTATGATGGGTATGAATGACAGAGAGTGAACAAATTGAGAGTGATTTTTGTTCCACAGAAAAAAAGTAGGAGATATCAGAAGATACTATCTGACATCGGATTTAAAGAAAGCATAAATGAATATGTTTTTAAATGTATGATGAGTTCCTGCCTTCAGGGATGGAATATTTTAACAAGAATTTGAAAATACTTGTGCAAAAAATTGATAGAAGGGATAGTTTAATAAGATGCAGAGACGGATGCATTGTGCTTGTGTAGCAGTTGTGAGAAACTAGAAGATTCTAATCAACAGCATTATTCTGTATTTTTGCCCCATTCTTATATTTTTGCATATGTTCTGGGATTCTGTCACAGCTGAGGCATTGAATTAGATGAGCTCTGTTTGGAGGTCAATATTTGAATATCCATTACAAATACTAACAAAAAACTGTATCTGGAGAACAATGTGATGGGGCTCCAATGCCCTTTTCCATTAATTTGTATACCTCTGTCTCCCACATCTCCTTCCATCTCAATCCTTTCATTCCATTAAGTCCCCATCAATCCCAGCTCTGACGATTATTCTGATAAGTTGTTACAAGTCCCCAAAGTTTTGACCTGCCCATTTATATTGAGAATTGCTCTGTAACAACAGTGATGGTGTTCCTATCAGGTTTTCCCTTGTCATATTCACTAAATCCAGAAGAGTGGAAATCTCACAGATGATAGGGTGCCAATTGTAGTGAATCACTGAGACACTGGCAGGTTTAGGGTAGCAGCCTCCTGCTTTATTCCACCCATACTGGTAGCAGAAATGATATTTCAAATGTAAACATTTTTCAGGTCGTAAGCAGGGAGAAGGAAACAAAATCAATTTTCTTGTTCTGTCTTCAGTTTTTCCCTAATCCCTGAGGCAACAATGGCAAAAAACATTTCAGGAAAGAAGGTGCGAATGTAAACAGCTGCTCTGGGTATAGGGTTGGCCATCAGCACCTCCTGCTTCTTGCTGCTCACTGTGCGCAAGACTTCCTCTGCCACCTCTGCTGGGTGCACACCATAAGTCACCTTTCTGAAAAAGACTGAATCAAAGAGAGAGGAATTAGAAGTACAAACAGGCAGGCACAACTGAGGGAATTGAGAAGATAGACAACTAGTACATCAGTCCAGTTAAGTTCATATAAACTTTCATTTCTTTACCCTCTCCCTTCCCTTCTTTTGTGCTTCCTGACCAACCACACCAAGATTTTCCCTAAGGGAAGAAGCAACCTGAGCACAGCTGAAATCTCCCTTCTATCTTTCATGCTCTTCTCAACCTTCATTCTCCATGCCATGCTGTATTTTTTTCTCACATGATGTTGCTCCTTTCCGTATATCTCCTCTTTTTAATATATTCGTCTGATCTCTTCAATCTTTCTTTCCTTTTGTTCTCCTAACGCGTTCATCTTGTTGTCTTTTCCATTTCTTTCCCTGTGCTCTTTTCTTCATAAGAAAAGCTTCCATACATCTATATGGAACTCATCCAATGTCTGTCTTGTTTCACCAAACCCCTTACATTTCCAAATTGATGCCTCCCAATTGCCAGGTGCTGGCTGATGATGGTATGAACAGATGAAGGTTGGATTGACAGTGCTGACAGAAATATCAAATTCTTCCATTTCTGCTCTAAGACAATCAAAAAAGCCTACAGCAGCGTGTTTAGAAGCAGCATCTGAAAGAAAGAAAAAACACGTGGATGTTTGGATGTATGGATTTGGATGTGTGAGGAATTCCATGAAACAATAATTTTTAGAACATTAATCTGGGAATGATTATCCAATAAAGACAAAATAATAGTGAATAACTTCACTCAGTGAAATTAGGACATATTTAAAACAAACAGAAGAAATGGAATTTACAAAATTAAGTTTTGCATAAGGTGCAATATGAACCTCCCTAAGCATGTGAGAAAGCATGTCTGGATTCCCCAGTCATAAATATTAAGTCCTGGGTTAAGAGTAGTTTCTCTAATATCTCTACAGTTTGAGAACATCTTTAGTAGACAGACAGTTGTCTCTGAGATGAGTGTCCACCGCATCTGATGCTGTAATTTGTGACACATTAGTAAAATGCAGTAAAATACACAGCTGTTTCTGGAAGACAAGTTGTGTATTTTGCAAATAAATTCGGACTTGGCCCTGCAGCAACAATTCTGTATGTTTTCAATATTAAAGTTTATATTTATAAACTTATATTAAAATAAGAGTTTATATTTATAAACTATATTTATTAAGTTAATATTTTTAAAATTAAATAATTTATTTCTTCTTTTGCTTCTGCATGACCTTTTCTTTTTCCCTTTTCACTTTAATTCAACCACTCCTTATCTATGAGCCTCTTTTTACAGTATTTTGTTTCTCTGTTCTTTTAAGGAGTGGGAGTGAGAGAGGTGTGGTGAAGCTTAGCTTTCTATCAGTGTGAAGCCACCACAAGATATTAGAGCTAAAGGCTCATTGTTCCCTGATTCCTTCCCAAGAACTTTAAAAATTTGCTGTCACATTTGATATCTATGTATTCTCAAGCACCATAGGCAGCAGTCATGTTTCACAGTACTTTTAACTATTTTTTCTTGAGTTTGACTTTGAAAATGTTTCAGTCAAATACATTATTAATCATCTACTTAAATTTGATTAATTAAATAAAATTAAATTAAGAAGGCTGGAAATTACCACTTTTAATATCTAAATATTTATACATTAAAATGAATATTATGTGAACATTTTTTTGAATTTATGAATTCATAAAAACATACCATATGAATGAATGTATAACTTACAAGCTGCACGAAATGGGACTCCTATTTTTCCTTGAATACTATTAATTAAAACTATTTGGCCAGTTCTTCTAGAAATCATGTTGGGAAGAATGGCTGAAAAAAGAAATGGAAAGAAAAAGCCAAATAAGTAAAAGAGCTTAATATCTTCAGAGAAAATAAATGACAGGTAAAGTATATTTAGCAAAATTTAATGAACAGTAAGATCATAGAATCATAGAATATTCCAAGTTGGAAGGGACCATAGCAGTTATCAAGGCCAGCTCCTGGCTCCACTCAGCACCATCCAAACCATGTGGCTGAGAGAGAGATCCAAATGCTCTGTGAATCCAGCAGCTCAGGCCCGTACCCACTGCCCTGGGTAGCTGTTCCACACACACCAATCTCCGGTGCAGAATCTTTCCCTAACCCCCACCTGATCCTCCCCTGATGCAGCAAACCAAGGTATCTCATCTACTCCTTATACGCCTTGCCCTCCAGCCCAGAGCAGAGTGCGACGATCCCTTTCCTTGCCAGTGTAGCTATACTTTGCTTAATGCATTCTAAGATACGGTTGTCAGTGCACACTACTGACTCATACTCAAGTTGCTGTCAATCATAACCCCTAGGTTACTTTCTGTGGCACTATTCTACAGCCTCTCATCTCTAAATTTACATACATACCCAGGGTTAATCCCATCCCAGGGGCAGGATCTGGCACTTACTACTGTTAAAATTCATTGAATTGGTGATTTTTCATTCCTCCAACTTTTCTCTGTAAAGCCGCTCTACCTTCAGATGATCCTCCCAATGTAGTGTTGTCACTTAGCATATCTTCAAACTAACTCATCGATGAAATTGGTAAAGATAACTGGCCCTAAAGTAGAGCCCTGTAGAACCCTGCTAGTGACTGACTACCAGACTGATGTAACTCATCCACTATAATCCGTTGGGCCCAACTCGTCATCTAATTGTTCATGCACTGCATTATGTTTTTGCCTAATCATATGCTAGACATTTTGTCTGGAAGGATATTGTGAGAAACAGCATCTAAGGATCTGCTGAAATCCAAAAAGATAGCACCAGCTGGCTTCCCTTGGTCAGCTCAATGGATGATCTTGTCAATAAAAGGAAATTGGGTTAGTTAAACAGGACCTTCCCCTCATGAATTTGTATTGTCTGTGACCAATTAATACATCATCCTCCAGACATTTTTTAATATCTCACAGCATAATTTTCTCCATTATTTTACCAGGCACTGAAATGACACTGAAAGGCCCCTAATTTCCAAGATCATTGTCAAGATCTTTTTTTTTTCAAGATCTTTTTTTTTTCAAGATCTTTGCTTCCAGTCAACTGAGACCATTCCAGATACCCAAGATTGTTGAAAAGTAATTATGACAGTTATCACAGTGCCATCAGTCAACTCTCTGAGTACCCTGTAACCAATGACTGCATTGTCTCTCTGGTATTTTTCAATAATTTCTAAAACAATTTTCCCCATAATTTTACCAGGAACTGGTGAGTCACCATCTTGTCTGATTGACCAATAGTAGACTTCCATAACGACATCTACTTATTTGCTTGTACTTAAATCCTTATCCAGAGGCTTTCAAATGTGTCACTGCCAACTGCAAGCTCTGTGCAATTCAGCCTCTCCATCACACACTACTCCCCACTTTGCCTGCACTGTCAGTCCCCTCTGAGGAGATCGTAACCATCTGCTGTGACACACCAGACTCAGGACTCTTTCTGCTAGGTATAGCTTGTATTAATTGTATCATAGCTCTGAGATGGAGTCAAAATTTTCATAGCAACAAAGGCAGCAAGCACAGAACTGAAGGAGTCACCAAAAGGAAAAACAAGTCGACAAAATTTTTTTCAAACACCTACTAATATATTTCCAAGCCTGATTTATTTCCAGGCTGATTTTGATCTTATTCACTTCAATTGCAGCCCACTCATGTTCACATGATTCTGTCTGTAGTGAAGAAGGCAAAGTTAAATGCTAATGCATCAGAATAATGCCGGTGATTTGGATCTTAAACTTCAAGTTGTGACAGGAAAAAAAAGGAAAAAAATTAAAATACCTTTGGTTAATGTTATAGGTCCAAAATAGTTGGCATCCATTATCTTTTTATCAAGTTCCAATGAAATGCTCTGCACTGCTCCTTTTACCTTCATACTTGCATTGTTGATGAGTATATCCACACAACCATAGCAATTCAGGATTTCCTTAGCTACATCTTGAATGCAGTCTATGTCTGAGATATCCAGAAGAATGAGCTTTGGTGTATATGTCTAATAAAGGAAAAAAATATTCAAGGATTTGAATCATGGCACAGTTTTTCCATATTGTGAGAACAGCCTTTTGCATAACTTGAGTGGATAGAAGCTGCAGGACAGGAGGCCTGTGTGAACATAAGCTCAAGAACAAAATGTGGAGGCGGCAAAACTGCAAGACTCGTTGCCAAGTGAAGAAAGCAGAACAGATGTCTTGTTGTTGAAGATAAGATGGCAAAACAGATACCTCAGCTCAGTGTAACGTCAGTGGAAACCAGTTTGGGCTACCCTTCCTAAAAGGTTGGAAATGTACAGCGAGAATGATTGCTAGCCTTCAGTTCACAACCACCAGAGATGTTGATCATTTCTTGGAGTTTCTGCCCATGTGCTTGGAATGTAATGACTACGTATACACTATGCCTTTAAATATGCAATTGCTGCTTCTTTTCATGTGCATGTTGGTGGAGCGATCTCCATGCACCCAGTGCTGTAATAAAGGAATACTTGCTCGTCAGAACCCATTGGCATATAAAGTTACTTTGTTGGTTTTCTCAGTTTCAGATTCCTTATACATAAATTATTTTCTACTTACAATTTCTATTTACTCTTAAAAACAATAAAATTTACCACTGTATCTGAAGAAAGTGCATTATTATTCTTACAGAAAATCTTCATTTGTTCTTTTAACCCACTCTGGAAAGAGGTTAACTCAGTAATAGGTACTCTTGTACTCTGAAATTCAGATACAGGTGCATAACACCTCGGGAAGAGTAAGCTGGAATAGCTGCATCCAATAAATGCAGATAAATACACATGGGATGACTCCTATCCTTCCTCTTTTCATAAACAGAACTCTGTAGAAATTTGTTGACCACAGAACCTTAGTTAAAGTGCTTTGAGAGATGATTCGCGTATATAAGAGGAACTGAATGTACAGGGGAAATTGGGAGGTGGGAATAGTTTGTTTAACTATAGGCAATCCAAACCACGTGTATTGTTTCTTTCAAAGATGTAGATTTTATCAGCTGCAGCACAGAGGAATGAACTCTGAGAATTTTCACGTATTACTATGCTGAAGTACAGACAGGTCCCTTAGTCATACTTAATGATTTTTCCCAGTTGATTACACAAATTAGCACAAACACAGTATTTCTTTGTGAAGATGAATGAAGCTCACTGTAGAAAAAGGGTGACATGTATTTGTTGGTCTGGTGACAAATGGCTATGTAATTTATGGATTACTTATGCTCTGAAATGAGTCTGATCACAGAAGGAAGGATTTTCCATGGGCACCAAAGAAACATCTCCCAAAGAACCACCTCTGACAGCATGGGAAGCCTTTACTGGTCTCACATCTCCATTTGCATGCTTAGTCAGTGGTAATGAGAGAACTTGTATTTATGTGCTCCCATAACCTGCAATCTGAGAACTCTCACAAAGTAGTAGAAATATTTAAGATTAATGAAATCCTTGGAACCACCTCCCTTTTCTTGAACACTCAAGCTATGCAAAAAAATGATGGCAGTTCACACAATGAAATGGAGAACAACATCTGAATTAACATGTAAATCATTCTACCTCGCATTTCTAGTTGTCTGGCTTTGAGCAGGGATTCGTTCAAAATGCAGGTCCACTCAGGAGCTTTTGATCTTATTTTTGACATATTTTTGACATCATGCTCTTCAAAATTTCCTCTTTCTCTGAACTGTGCTGGGTATATTTTGTGGATGACCAAAATCACTGCTGGTGTCTGAATTAAGCTCCATGTAGACCTCATTTTAGTAGATTTAAAAGCAGTTTTTGTACGTGAACAAGGTTTTTACCTCAACTTGTCAATCTTCAGAGCACTGCGAGGAAACACTTACTGTACTGGGGTCTGCCACGCTAATTAAAGCATCATACAAGGCTTCCAACTTCTCCCATGTTCTGCCACACAACACAAGCCTTGCTCCTCCTGAATGAAACACTTGAGAACATTCTAGGAGAGAAAGAAGTTCAAAAGAAATAATAACAATAGTAGCAATTTGATTATACCCATTTTAGTTGAAACGGGAGGCTGTTTTTGCTAATGATGTTGAATCATTCATTAAAAATTCATTATTTTTTGAAGGATAAAAATATGAGAAAAAAAGAATTTCCAAATATAAATGAGTAATAAATGAAATTTTATGAATATTTTTACCATATTAAGGTCATCACAATTAATGGTATAGCATGATGATACTCTTTAGTTGTGGTATATAATTAAGAAAAGAACAGTGTGACAGTTAATGGGTTAGAATAAGAAAAAAAGTGTTTGTCTTTCTTCCTTAACTGTCTCCACATGTAAGTACAGTGTAATGAAAAACATACACAAAAATACATTTATGATGTTGTTACATGTCAAAATCTCACAACAATACCAATACACCAACCAATCCCAGAATGCAGAAAACTAGGTTTGGGCACTGTCTTCATGAAACTTTCAGGCACATGAAACTCATCTACAATTCTGAGGAAGAACGGTACATAGAAACTTAGCAGCCACTGCCCTACAAATGAGATGAAATAGCAGCTGGAAGGTCTTTCTTACACAGACCCTTATTATTCATCAATCTTCCCAGGACTCAGTGGAGGCAATGGGGACAACCCTGAGCTACCTCTGGTTCAGACAGGATTCCTGAAGCCTTCCTGAGAAGATCACTGAGAAATTTCTGTGTATGCTAGGATAGAACTGCTTTCTCTACATACAGACAAGGACATTCTGGACTAAAGATTCACAACAGTTAAACTGTCTCTGGAGAAGATTCTCTCTTGCTAATGCAAGTGAGCTAGAATTGTACTTTTCTCAAACTGGTGGCTCAATGAAACTGGCAGTCAGTACTACAGTTTCTCATGCCTGAGCATCGGCCTGAAATATCAGGTTGAAGCTTTTTGATGGTTTGTGTCTGACTGGTTTTCTTCTCTAGCTGATGAAGGGAGAATACATTCTTCACTGTGCTTCCCGTTTGATCAGAGAAAGGCTTTTTAAAAATCAGGGACATCTTCAGGGATTAACTGTCTGTTGTACTCCCCAAGAGGTCATAGGGTGCCTAGGGATATGCAATCTAGCTCAGCTGAATTGAAGAAGTGGTTCTCAGTTTGGAAATGTGTCAAGATAGTCCTTGCAATGAGGAAAAGTACACGCTTGCCTTTTTTTTTAATCTCTTGTAATATAAATTGTATTGCAGATAGCCTGTAGGCATGACACAATGAACACACTGCTTTAAATCAGAAGATCTGCTTTAGGTGCAGATAGACAAGTAGCTGGCAGTGGGTTATGTGTGCTGGCAGGATTGAAAATTAAAAGGTCTTTTCCTTTCATGATTTATTTTCTGTCTAGATCTTCAAAATCCTTTCAGCCTTGAAACCCTTATATTTGGTCCTTAAATTAAATCTGTATGTCATTTGCATATTCAACACTGGAAGAACAGGAAGATGACCTTACAATTACTCTTGCTTTTCCCGTCTCTTTGATTTGTTTTGCTTCCTATGACCCTTCTTAAACAGGCAACATTATCCACTCTTCAAAAATATTTTTCTTCATATTTCAGTAGCTGCAGGAAAATCCAGATATTCTTATTTTTTTTTTTAAATTTCAATATTAGAATCTTAATATCTGTATGGAAGTATTTATATAAGCCTTCTGGACCCAGGTTCTTACCTCTATAAACATTTTCAGTGGAAACTTCTATTTATGTAATGTTTGTTTTTCACAGTTGTATTTTCATGAATTTTTTTCATTCCTTTTTAGAAAAGAAAAATTTTGTGACTTAAAAAGATTATTTATAGCTACACCAATATTTTTCTTATTAACTTAACAGGGCAGGTTTATGAACAAAATTCATGAACAAGATTATTTTGTGATCAACAGCAAAAGGGAAACCAGTGATGTATTTCTCTAGACTCTTTTGAGTTACGGCACTGAAAAAAGCCTGGGAATCAAGTTTCATTAGCAGTCATAAACCACTGAAAACATCTTCATCATTTTTTTGTTACTTTTTAAACTTTGACACGTCTCCATTTGTCCAGAAATTCTAGTATGTGGAAAAAAGAATCTTGCAGTTGCCTAGGATAAATAAATTAACTACCACATATCCTTTCCTTTCTTCCACTGAACACACATGGTCAGATCTCCCTGTTGGAGGTTCTGGAGGATATCAAGGGAAAAAGAGTAATGTAGGTGATAGAGGGGCAGCAATTTACAGGGGGAGAAGGGTGAGTACTGTTACAGGGAACAGAAAAAGTGGAAGCCTTTAAGGGCTTAAAAGGAACAAGTAACAGAGAAAGGTGACACCAGTTAATGCTGATTTGCTGCTACTCTACAGTGACAACTTATGGTATTAGATCTCAGAGTAGCAAAGTGCTAAAAATATCACTTAACATGGTTATAAAACCTGCTACTCTGTTCCGTAAACTCAAAGCTCTGCAGTTCCTGAAAGTTCATCTGCGGTTCCTGTATCTGAGATTTTAAAAGTACACTTGAAAGTCATAGACACTGTTCAGTTCTCTGACGTGGAGAAGAAAAGAGACAACTCACCCTTGCCTAGTCCAGAGATGGCATCTGTGATCACCACCACCTTGTTCTGCACTGCTGATTTGGACACTAGCCATATGACTGTCTGGTAAATATAAATGATTCCACTGATCCCTAGAAGAAGCAATGGTAGGGCAAACACAGCAAGAATACCCATATCTGTGGAAAACAAGAGTCCATATTAAAGTAACAGTAACCATAATATGAACTTATAATTTTCAAGTTTCTCTTATCTACAAAAGAAATGTTTCCATGCATAAAAAGTCAGTAATCCCAGCATAACAAACACATAAAGCTGTGGGAATATTATCTTCCAATCAGCAGTTTCATATTAACATAAGTTAATAAGTCCTTTTGCTTTTTTCTCCATTTTCCTCATTATTTCACATTTTAATGAAATCTAGATTTCTAGATTAAAAATGACTGTTGATAAAACAGAATAAAATTGCAGTTCAAATATTGCCAAAGTGGCAAGTATTGCCAAATATGGCAAAGTATAGGATAAAATATAAGATTAAGCTTTTTATTATGTGGCTACTATGGGAAAACAGATAAAAAGCTTTTTATACTAATTTCAAGTAAAACATATAATAGAAATGTTTTCTGTTCTGAAAGATACAGGAAAAAAGAAAAACCAAAACCACTTACTATGACTATGTAGAATCCTGGTATAGATAAATACTGTTTGCAACAAGTTTTTGTATTATGAGTTTAATTAAAGTCCTTCAAGATTTTCATTGAAGATTGCACTAGTTGAGGCTGCTTGCCCTGTGTGAGAATGGCTATGTATAGCCTGCTGCTGTAGCAGAGGGACCTCAGAAGTAAATATAGCACCTACAGTGTGATTCACATGCTTGACTGTTTAGTTCAGCAGGCTGGACAGTCCTGTAAAGACTCTATGTACAGTATCAAATCCACTGTGCAATGAAACATTTGTCTTTTTGTCTTCTCATTGGTTGCAGTTGTTCATAGGACTATCTCAGTTTCCCATCTGAGGTCTTCAACTAACTTTATTAAAAAAAACAAACCCAAAACTTATGTATCAAATGCATGATGATTATATGTTTTAAAAACAATAAAAAGAACTTTCAGTTTGAAATAGTCACTGTTCTACAATATGAATCATACATGTGCACCGGGAAAGGGTCTCCAAGCAAGCTGGCTTTGGGAGCTAACGTTTTGTAATAAGCCAAGAGCTCCTGCTGGGCAGCAGTGTGCTGGAAGTACTGTGCTTCCAGGGGGCACATGCTGCTTTCCAGTCTTGGTATTTGTAAGGTAGATGTCTATCTTTTCCAGCAATTTCAGGATCTTATCAATTTTACCTTATCACCTCTTGCATTTCCTTCAAAGATGCAATGTTTATTGACCTGACTGACTCAGTAATGAGATTCAATTGGAATTGCGGGGGAATGTATCATGAATCATTCAGAATCTTTTATCACAATCTTATGAATGTAAATATTAACAGTTGGATTTAATACTCCTGTTAATGTTGTGTAACTGGTCAACTAAATTCTACAGAGCAATTCTCAACTCTGTGAGAGAATGACAAGGTTAGAAACATTACTGAATCATTGATATTGGGGTGTTGTTACAAGGAGCAAAGATGTTATTGTCTGCAGGTACAAAATAGTATCAGCTTTCAATGAATGGGAAGAGTAGAAAGTTGTTCAAGAGGCCATCAGGAGGAGACTTATCGACAGTTAATTCTAACTAGCTCTAGAAATAAAGATGCATATTCCTTTCTGTGACAGTTGGATCTCCTGAGAAAGAATGCATGATTTAAGATTACCAAAGCAAAGAACTATATAATGGACATCTGTGAGGCCACTGACATGGTCTCACATGATATCCTTCTCTATAAACTGGAGAGATACGGACTTGAAGGGTGGACTGTGAGATGGATAAAGAATTGGCTGGATGGCCACAGACAGAGGGTTGTGGTCAACAGCTCTCTGTCCAGATGGAGACCAGTAATGAGCACTGGCCTCCAGGGGTCTTTCTTGAGAATGGCACTCTTAAAAATCTTAAAAATCAGTGACCTAGTCAGAAGGATCAAGGGCACTCTCAGCAAGTGTTCTTTGCAAAGAACACCCAGCTGAGTGGTGTGGTTGACATAATAGATGGAAGGAATACTGCCCAAAGGGACCTTGACATGAACTGAATGAAGTTCAACAAGGCCAAGTGTGAGGTGTTACACCCGGGTTGGAGTAATACAAATTATCTGTACAGACTGATAAAAGTAGTAACTGAGAGTAGCATTGCAGAGAATGACTTGGGGAGTTCTGATGTATGAAAAGCTGGACATGAGCAAGCAGTGTGTCCTTGCAGCTCAGAAGGCCAACTGCACCCATCCGCAGAAGAGTACCAACAGGGCAGGGAAGGGATTGTCCCGCTCTGCCTTTGAGAGTAGCCATCTGGGATATTGTGTTCACGTCCCTAAGCACGAAAAAGATGTGGAGTTGTTGGAGCAGGTCCAGAGGTGGGCCACGAAGATGCTCAGAGGTCTGGAGCCTTCTCCTGTGAAGAAGGGCTGGGCTTCTTCACTCTGGAGGAGAGAAGGCTCTAACAAGACCTCATTGCAATCTTTCAGTACATAAAGGGAGATTATAAACAAAATGGAGACTGGTTTTCCATAGATTCATAGAATATCCTTAGTTACAAATGACCCATAAGGATCACCAAGTCCCACTTATGGCTCCACACAGAATCATACAAAAATCAGATCGTATGTCGGAGTGCATTGTCCAGATGCTTAACTCTGACAACTCAGTGCTATGACCACTTCCCTGGGAAGCCTGCCCTGTGCCCAACCATTCTTTGATGAAGAACCTTTTCCTAATATCCAACCTGAGCCTCATCTGTTACAGCTTCATGACACTCCCTTGGGCCCTGTCACTATCAACAGAGGTCATTGACTGCTCCCAAATCTCTCTGTGAGGAAGCGTTAGGCCATGATGCATCCTCTCAGCCTCTTCTTCTCAGGGCTGAACAAACCAAGAGAGTTAGCTGCTCCTCATAACACCCTGCCTTCCAGATCCTTCACCATTTCGTAGCCTTCCTTTGGACACTTCCTCCAGGGAAGAAGGGGATAAGAGTGGAAAAGTTAGGAATAGAGGGAAAAACAAGTGAAAGGATGAGAAAATAGGAGAAAATCACAGAATCATAGTATTACAGGAGTTGGAACGGACCTCAAGAGATCATCGAGACCTACCCCCCTGAAGGTGCCCTACTGTAGGTCATACAGGTCGGCGTACAGATAAGTCTTGAATATCTCCATGGAAGGAGACTCCACAAACTCTCTGAGCAACCTGTTCCAGTGTTCTGTCACCCTTAGATAGATACATGGATAGATTCTGTCTTCCTTAGATAGATATCATGATCCTGAATGCCCCCTTTCTACATGTAGCAACTCCAGTAAATTTTCCCATTCATCACCCATTTTCAGGGTTTGGGAAAGAAAGTAGGGTGTATCAGTGGATTCATCAAAAGGAGTGTAGTTAATTCTTTCACTTCACATTTTTGCTTGTGTGCTGGATCCAACCCTGTCTGGTGGGATGCCACTCAGCTTCCCTCACATTCCTTAACCTTTGTGATATCCAGATGTCCTCCCAGTTCTCTTCTGCCACACAGGACTTGGTTTACCTCCAAGCATTTTGTTCAGTGCATCCCTTGAAGACTGCACATGAATTAGTATATTCATGTACCAGTTTGAGGTTGTCTTTTTCTCTCCTAAGTACCTCCCAAATTGTAACTAACTCCCTGACTTGGGTACTGCCTTCCCCTTCACTAAAAACTTCATCTCTGGTTTCTATTTGCACTGGCTACCACTCAGTATTTCCATACTTCCCCTTTGTGCCTGGTAGAGGTGTCTGCAAACCAGACATTCCTCATTCCTTCCTGGAATGGAGAGGCATTCTTTACCAGAGAAGCAGCAATTTAGGTTAAAGAACCCATATTAGAAATCTCCTGCGTGGGAAGGGTCATAAGTGACCCTTCAAAGAGGTGAAAGTAATGATCCAGTTGAGCATACAATTTCCTTCCTGTTTCCCATTGTGCTACTCCAATGGGCAGAGGTATCCCTGTTAGCACCAGCCTTAAGACCTTGAAGGGCCCATGCTGACTGCTGCAAAATGGTTTGCCCTGCCTCCTTGAATCCTAAAGTTACCACAAAGAGCCCCTTTTCTCAGGCAGAGTATCATCTTTCAGAATCTTTAAAGGTGCGCAGAAAAAGCCCATCCATCTAGCTGGGACATCTGGGCCCACAGGTGTATCAGAAGTCCACGTGAGGCAAATCCCCAAGCAAGGCACAACGGGTCAGTGGGGTTGTATTGGTCCTAAGGCCTGGTGAGTATTTGCCCCGAAAATCAATTGTTTCAAGGCTTCCTCACATACAGGGGAGCAATCCAATGCAGCCCATTTTCAGGTTAGATCATACAAAGGTTGAGCAGTGATGGAGAAATCCAGGATATGCTTTCTTCAAAAGACTAATAAGCCTCAGGCATATTGAAGTACCTTCTTATTTTGGGGCATACCTGTTGGCTGTAGAGCCACCATGGTGTTGGAGGGAATACACACAACTCCTCCTTTCCACCAGGTGGATCATTTGCTCTGGCCCAGCCAGCATTGTTGTTGGAGATTTCTGGTTTGGCACTAAGGCTCTTTCATGTATTAACTGTAATCAGGCTGCTTCCTGAGTTCTCAATCAGTTGGTGAAGTTCCCCCTGAAACTGTAACCGGGTCACTTCTTCCCAGGGAGTCAAGAACTTCTGCCCAATAAGCTGTCCTCTGAGTCAGGGACCAAGGGGCTCAGTTGGTCCCAGTGGTCATGAAAATATCAGGTCTCCAGTGACCCAGTGACCTTCCACCTCCTCACTTAAAAGTAATCAGTACCTTCCCATTAAGAAACTTTCCACACATATTCTGTCTCTGTCCTCTTAGCATTCCTGCTGTATTTTTGCAGTTTAGCTGAATATGAGGTTACTTTTGTTATAGTGGTTGGACAAACTGATCTGCTCATGAGATAAACATCATAGATGTATGTAAGTGACAGCCTTCTTTCTCTGGGCACTGATGTGCTCTTATGCAGGCTCCTGATAATCTCAGTGCCCTTTTGCAGTGCTCTGTTTATCTCAAGAATAATGTCCTGGGTGGGAAGATATGCAGCCAGAGGAGACTGCAGACCAGGAACTAGCAGAAACAATACAGAAGTCTGTAGAGAAAGTGGGTGTTGCAATGAGTCCAGAGTAAATATAAATCTGTTTAGTTTTCTTGTTGTGTATTAGAATGTCTGTTGACAGTTGCTGGAAGGCCCTTTCTCCCCCTTTCTCAGTTTCTAAATGCAGTCAAATGCATCATCAGTGAGCAAAATGTGGAGAGAAAGGGATTTCATTCTTTTTTGGGGCCTTTAATTGCATCAGTGTTTTCCTTCTTGTACAGCAAAATCTGCCCGCATTAAGGCATTAAGGAGTGCTTGCTGTTCAATTTGTGCTCTCCATGCAACCTTCTGGCAGCTTTGATACCTTAGTCTTCAAAAGTGTGGTGATAAGTGATTGTCTCTGGCACCCAATCATCTGCTTCGAATTGCTGTCATGTCCATAACTCAATTACATTATATTTTAGCACCCTTTCATTAGGGCAGTATTGTGGTAGAAATTCTATTCTTAACAACTACAGCATGCAAAAACAAAGGCGCCATGGCAGTAAGAACAAATATTTGTACAGGAGGAATAAGTGCCACAGCAACTATTTGAGTTTTACATGTGCAGTGTCTGAGACTACATCGGTGTTTTACTGCTGCCTTTCTGC